GAAAATTTTATTTATGTCTGCACATTTAGTGACGTTGAATTTTTTTTTAAATTTTTTTTAAATGCATTAAAAAACAAAAAAATATAAACAAAAAAAGAAAAAAAATGATAATTGTTTCACCATGTTTAGTGTGGGTCCGCTAAAAAACTTCAGCGCCACACTTGCAATAGAAGAAGAGAGTTGCAAATGATAATACGTGTATCAAAAACTTGTGTCTGCAAGTGCCCACACTTGCAATAGTGTGGGTCCGTCATTGTATAAGTTCTTCAATGATATCAATAAAAAAGCTTATATATCCAAAATTGAATATAGGGTTTGGAGGTTGGTTCATATTTTATCGTGTTCACTATGTTGCACTTAAGTTATTTTTAATATTATTCTCTTTATAGATGTAATATTTATTAAATATGAAATATTTGTAATAAAAAAAGAATTTCATATATTTAGGCACAATCATGAATGTGGCTAAATTTTTTTTCCAGACATAATTAGCCACATTTTTTTATTGTGGCAAACTATACAATTTAACCACATTTATAAAGTGGTTAAATTAACAATAATTATTGTTAAAAAAGGCTATCACATTCAGTCAAAATATGGCAAAGTGAATATAATAATGTGGCTAAATTATTGCAACACCACTTCTAAGGCTTTTTCACCCTTTTGCCCCTTATTAATTAATTAATAACCATTTTGCCCCTGATTCGAAACTATCTACCAATCTGCCCCTCTTTAATCGACTACATTGAATTTTTAATCGACTAAACGGTTGTTGGGAGATTTAATCGACTAAATCTCTCTACTTAATCGATTAAAATCATACTGACTTATTTTTTTTTTTGTAAAATATGAAGATTTAGTCGACTAAATAGGGAGATTTAGTCGACTAAATCTCCCAGCAGCCATTTTTTGTCTGTTTTGGTCATTTAGTCGATTAAAAATGCAAGGTAGTCGACTAAAGAGGGACATATTGATAAATAGTTTCGAATCAGGGGCAAAATGGTTATTAATTAATTAATAAGGGGTAAAAAGGTGAAAAAGCCCCACTTCTAATCATATTTAATCAAACTGTGGAAAATTTGTTAGCCACATTTTTTATCAATATTTGCCACATTTTTAAATGTGGCTAAATAACAATTTTTTTGTAGTGTATTTTGATTCTTTCATGATTGGTCTTCGATTTTTTTTAATTTTTCATATATGATATATATTTATATATTTTTAATATATAAAATCGGATAAACGAAGTGACCCTATGATCTCTGACTTCAGTCAGTCGATTAAGAAAAATATAAATATATCTTCTACGACTTTAAGATATATTTTAATATACTCTTATTTATTTTTCTTTTAATGAATACAAATAGTTATGAAGGTTCAAGTTAGTATTAAATTTTTGGTCATAAATATTATTTTGAGTAAATACCCTTTTGGGTTCTCAACAAAAAACATGAAACTCATTTTAACCCATTAGAAAAAAAGTATTTATATTAGTTCTTATTGAGGGATTAATGTGGTTCTCCTTTGAATTTCTGAGGGATCACAATATCAAAGAATTAGAATTTCAGAGGAATCATAATTTGACTTTTTTCTCTAAGTGATTAAAATAGATTCTGTGTTTTTTGTCGAGGAACCAAAAATATATTTACTTTATTATTTTCTTATTTCAAGGATAAAACTGGAATAAATACCAGTGTTATGAAACCCGGACTGACCCGGGAACCGGTAAATCGGTCATATAACTGGTCCGGTTGAAGCAACAAACCGGTTATGCATCAGAACTGGTCCGACCCGGTCGGTTTTTCATAAAAATCAGTGACTCGGTCGGTTAACCGGTGACCCGACCCGGTCTAAAAAAAAATCTAAATTTTTAAAAAAAATAAAAATCATAATAGACATATTTGAATACTTTTTTACTTATTGACTTACATAAGTTATGTACCTACAACACTAATATTATCTCAATTATGCACTATGCAAAAAAATTTGATTTGATTTATAGATAGAGATGTCATTTTCTTAACCTTAAGTCCCGTATCACGATCATTATATTTTTGTTTGATCTTTTATTGAATAATAATATGTGATTTATTATTTTTTATATTAAAATATTTGAAATCTTTATTTTTTTTAGATCTTTGAGTATGTTTATAATTTTTTAACATAAATTATAAAATTGCATATAATTACTGGGTCATGCGGTTGAACCAGTGACCCACTGATTGAATCAGTGACCCAGTAATCCAGTACATCGACCGAGTCAATGACCGAGCCGATTTTAATAACATTGATAAATACTGACAGAAACAATTACTCCGCAAATGGAATTGAATGCAAGATATATAGTCCGATTTATGAGAGTAGTCCTCCATATTGCTGCTCTTGTTATTAATACTTGTTATTCAAAACATTTTTTTTAATACTTTTTATCTATTGTATTTGATTAATCCGAATTGAGTTGAATAAAATGATATAGACAGAAAAATTCTCCCAACCAAATTAAAAAAAAAAAAAACATTCTAATCTTACACCAACTAAGGTATAATTAGCAATGTAGCATCATCATCATCCATCTTAGACCATGGGTCACGTGCATCATAACCGGTATCTACGGCATGTGTCAGTATTCCAGCAATTCACGTTTCCAACAACATTCATATCTACGGCAGAAAAAAATTTACTCCCCCCACTGATTCTTTGTTTTGCGCACTAATTTTTTATTTTATTTTATTAATGTGGGGAACTCATATGATTTTTTTTTTGTCACTCACGAAAATAATAACTCTCCGCAATATAAAAGTCATTTATCCCTTCCAAAAAAAGATAAAAGATTCCCCGGCCAATCCTCGAATTGAGTAGCCAAAATTAGTGTACTGGGGAGCTTGACCCATGTGGTATGGCCTGTGAAGCACCGATATTTCAAAAATACTGACGTGTCGTGTTCGACATTTTTCGACACTCTCGGACACTCCGACACTCCAACACGCGTTATAAAAATTCAAAAAAAGTTCAAAGATTGCGTCGCGTTGAGTTTTTAGTTCTAATTATGAGATTCGTTGGATTGCGATTATAATTTATTGAGTTTAATATAAATATTTGGGATATCTTATGTTTCTTTACAAAATTTATGAATATTATAAGTTTAGATTTATTTTTTTTGTTAAGTTATTGAATATTAAATATAATGTACACTACATAAATAAAAATATTATTTAATATCAAAACGTGTCCTAAAGTGTCGAAATCTAACATTTTTTAGAATTAACGTGTCGGAGTATCGTGTCGTATCGTGTCACGTGTCCCGTGTCGGTATCGGTGCTACATAGGGTATGGCATAAACAAGTATGAAGAGTTTATATGAAATAAAATATTGTTTAATATTTCTTATATTATAAGGAATAAATTTATTTTCACATCAGGATCTTCTCATTCTATAAAAAAATGACATGATCATGTGAAGAATTGTAACTATATAAAGATAAATCAACAGTGATAAAAGAAAAGAAAAGAAAAGAAAATTAAAAATAGATAATTAAAAAATCATAATTATTATAGGGGGAAGGATATTGTGACAACCAAGTTGTGTTACTACCAAGTGACTACCAATCAATCTCACCGTTAGATCGATTATGTTGATCCAACGGTTATATTTATTTTCATTTTTGTATGGTCATGATTCTCCATATTTAAAGTGAAAGCATTAAATATGGGAAATCATAACCATACAAAGATGAAAATAAATATAAAGTATTAAATTTGGGGAATCATGATCATACAAAGATAGAAATAAATATAACCGTTGGATCAATATAATCGATCTAACGGTAAGATTGATTGGTAGTCACTTGATAGTAACACAACTTGGTTGTCGCAATATCCTTCCCTTTATTATAGTTATGATATTCTCACATAATCATATCATATTTTTTTTAACACGAAAAGATATATTTTATTTATTTTCTATAATATAAAAAACATTAAATTCAATAAAATATCATTAATAAAGAAATGCTGCATGTCACAAATTGGGATTCGTGAATTTTCTCTCAAGCTTTTATGGGAGCAGTTTGTTTTCACTACTTAGCCGTTGCAGTTTTTTCGTTATCACCTATTTTACTTTTCCTTTAATCCTAAAGGTCCATGTAGATTACTGCTTCATTGGTGAAAAAGTTAGTTCGATTGAGATAGCTTATTATAAAGATTTCCTAAAAGGGATAAGATCTAATCGTAGTTTATAATAACAATATATCAGTATCTATACAACAACAACATAATAGAATATTACTAGACAACTGTCAGAAAGTTTGAGCAAACAACATGAGTTTTTTTTTTTTTTTTAATTCAAATAATCTCAACCATAGATGAAACTAACCCTTTCTTTCGCAGTCAAATTACTAATGGAGTGATCAAACTGACAATTCAAAAGATTACAGTGTATGTCACATTTAAAACGTGCTAGCTAACAACGTCAAAAATATACTAATATTATTATTACCAGCATAACATGGAGTGTGCCTCCTATCACCCTATCTGTCACTTGTCTTCACGTGCATGTACATATCCCGAATTACCCTCACTTTGTTTGACTAAACATTGCCTCCTCAGTCCTCTCACATTCCCAAGATGCAAAACCGAAGGGTATTATTGTCTTCAAGATGGCTGTGTTCTCAGCATGAACTAAGCCCTATGAGCTCATCATCCATTCCCATGAAAACAAACACACTACTTCTCTGCCCACTCTCTTGACCCATCCAATCAGAGAAAACCCCTTCCCTTAAGTTGATTATTTTCATTGGCTGTGTTCTTCACGTAACACTTAGGCACGTGAAACTAAACCTGCCAATTTCTGCTGTGGAAGTTTTGTCAATATCCTCTGAAGTACATCAACTTTTAAAATTGCAAGTGGGGGAAGTGCCATCTTGATTAAAAGGGCATTGTCTTTCACTCAGTTTCTCCTCAAATATATGGAAAGTGTTAACAATTCCAAAAAGGTAGAAATAATGGAAAATCAATCTCCAAATGGCAAAAAGGCAATGGAAGAAGAGCTAATGAGAGGGCGTGACATGGCAAGGGAGTTACTTGAAGTACTTGCAAACGAGGAAGGGTCAAAGTCAGTTTTACCAATTGCTGAGGATCTTGTTCTCAATGTAATGAGATCATTCACAAATACCCTTTTGCTCTTGAACACCAACCATGATGACTCCAATGAGGTGGTGGCGCCTATAACTATTGGAGATTTCACTTTCTCCGCTAACAACTGCCCAAAGCTGAAGGATGTCGATGAAACTTGCAAGAGTATCAAAACTCACGACACCAAAAATCGAAGAGGGTGCTATAAGAGAAAGTAAGAATTATTATTCATTCCTTACCTATCAAATTATTATTGTTATGGGTTTTGGATCCAGGATCCTGTAATTTTCTTCAGAAATATGACGTAGAGGAACTAAGTTTTAAGAGATAAAGACACAATTTTTGGTAAAACAATTATGATTGTGAGGAAAAATTATTTATCTTTTTAAATGACATGGCTTATGTCATTTTATTCATATTTATTTTTGTGCACTTTTTTATTTTTTTTATCTATATTTTTCTTTCACTTAAAATGACATAACTTTACGTTTTTTTAAAACGATAAACACTTTTTCTTATTGAAAAGGGATCCGCCGATCATCAACAAAATTAATATTTGTGTTATAATATAAAATTCTTTCAAATAAAATCTGAGTGACAGTCTAAATCCATTCAAACAATTGGATCTATTAATTTGTGCCTGCCAATTAAACGCAGAAATAATTTGTATCTTTCTCTTTCGTATTTAGGATATGGTATTACGATTATCTTTTTATACGTTATTTTTAACTATTTTTCTTCAACACCATTATATTATAATCTCAATTAACAGCGAGAGAAAATAGAAAGGATAAAAGTACTTTGAGATTATCATCTAATAATGTCAGAAAAAAAAAATAAGCATGAAAAATAATAGGTATGTATAATATCATAACCCTTATACTTATCATGCTTTTAAGAAAAAAGAAAAATCTAAAAAGATATGTATAAAATCCTAACCCATACATTTATCATGTTTTTAAGAAAAATGAAAAATCCAAAGTCATTTCTTAATAAATTCAAATTAAATTTTATATCCGTTTTAACTCTCATTCGTCAAGCATTTTCTTATGTCATTTTTTAAATAATTTAATGCTTTAGTTAAACTGAATTTTCCGTTCAAAGATCTTTAAATGATTCTTAATCCTTCATTGATATTTTACTTGTCAGTATCACTTTAAGTCCTCATTGAGTTTTGATATGCTTTAATATTAGAATGAAATAATTTGCTCTCTACCTAATCTTTAAGCACATCTTAAAAAAATTAGCATCATCCAAAAATTAAAATTTAAAAAAATTAGCATCATTAATTTTAATAAGACTTGATTTTTTTCTCAAAGCTTTTCAACTATTGTAGTTTATATAGTCCCCACCATTACAGGTACATTCAATTTAATCCTTATATATATGGCTCATTTTTGAAACTAAATCCCAAAGCTTTCCCTTTCAAATATTGTTATAAAAAAACTAATTCCTTTTGATGACGTATATCATTAGGGCATAGGCCAGGTAATAAATAAAATATGTTTTGTATTAATCTTGATTAAGTCATCCTAATTATTTAATTAAAAAGAAAAATTTACATACTTTTATGCTTTATTAATTATCCTTCCTTCATATATACTTTTTGGCATAGTCAAAAGAATATGCTATTTCTTCCCATATAATGAACGGAACCGAATGGCATTAGCCAATGCTGTCTTAAACTGCATCTTGGCTAGTCCATTATATATAAATGACCATTATCACATAATTATTGGATTAATTTTGATTTATCGTTAATGATTTCATAAATATTTTAGTTAATTGATTATTGGATTAGTTATGAAAATATTTAAATAAGAATCTACATATAATTGGTATTTTTGTCTTCATAAGATCAATTGCGCCAACTTGGGAGGAGGACACCTCAATTCTGATTGAAGATGGCCATGGGTGGAGAAAGTATGGACAAAAAATGACAATGAATGCCAAATACCTCAGGTATTCTTCCATTTCAAATTCCTCATCTTCGTGTATATATATATATATCTATATATATATATAGGGTAAACATTTCTACAGCTGCTTTAAATAAAGTTATCTACAGCTACTCAAAAACTACGTCGTTTTGATTAATAAAAAGTGTTTATGTAATTTTAGGTGAATTAATGAAGGGTGTTTCCGTAATTTTATTTATTTTTTTATCATATGCATTTTACCAAAATACCCTTCATTAATTCATCTCAAAATTACAAAAACACCCTTCATTAATCATAACGGCGTAGTTTTTGGGATAGCTGTAGATAACCTTATCTACAATGGCTGTAGAAATGTTTTTTCCTATATATATATATATGGGAAAAACATTTTTCAAACAGCTTGAGATAAGTTTATCTCCGGCTATCTCAAAATTACGTCGTTTTATTTATTTATTTTCTTATATTAATTGATTCATCTTTGGACGATTATGATTCTTTTTTTTTCTCTCTTTCTTTATCACCATTGATCATCTTTGTACGGTTATGATTTACTAGTCGGAGATAAGATTATCTCTCAAGCAAGCTTGAGAAACCATAAACCCTATATATATATATAAACTACCACCAAAATTTTTAACGGTTCATAGATAAATCAACGGCTGTGGAGAATATATTAAAATAAGAAGTGATTGGTCTATGAAGGATTATATATAATCATCTTACATGACCTCATGTCAAATGAGATAATCATTTTAATATGTGTCTCTCTCTTATAAATGATGAGTCCAATATGATTGAAATATGTTTGCAGGAGCTACTACAGGTGTACTCACAAATATGATGAGGGTTGCGAAGCAATCAAACATGTTCAGAGAATTCAAAAAGACCCTCCATTGTACCGGACAACCTATTATGGCTATCACACTTGCAAAAGCCCTTTGAATCCCGAGATAATTTTGGAACCTGTTTCTTCCTTTGGCTCTTCTATATTACTTAGCTTTAATAACAGCCTTCCAAGCAAACAAGAACACCCGTTTTCATCACCATTTTTTGCATCAAAGAAACAGAAGCCAACGGAAGTGGTTCACTATGACCATATTGCTCAAAACCAATTGTCGTCCTTAGAAGACCTCCTATTATGCGATTATGAAAATTATTTCGATTATTCGAGTCATGTCACTATGCTATCATCGACCAAATCCGTTGATTTTGACAATTTTTATGAGCAGTTTGATTTTGATGGTTAGGTATGTGTTTTTATTTACTGTTCTGGATTCATATGTTATGGTCCTCTTTGCCCCTTTGTCCAAATAAGCAGAATGGGCCTTATTTACCTTTAGGTAAAATCAATTTATAAATAAAGGGTTAAAGCTTATTAATATTATTTCGGAAATCCTAATTCTTATTTGTTGTTATTGTGTGCGCATACATATATTTTCCTTGACTTCTTATCTTTTGTCTGTATACAGTGATTTGCCACTGCAATTGTTTCCTTCGTAAACACTACTAATTCTCATATCCCACATTAACCTTTGATCTTCAGATCAAATATTTACAATTTTATTTCCAAACATAGCATTGGAGTTTGGCTTCATCTTGTTAGGACAGATCGAGTTTAAGATCTATATATATAAGTTCCGTCCGTGAAATCTTTTTAGCTTAATTTTGTAACACAAAACCTGAACTTGACTGGAAATACACCACCCAATTTTTATTTTTGACTAAGGCTAGCTGTTGACTTTATATTATTAAGTACTTCTAAATGAAAAATAAAATAACGTATTATTCATTGTTATTGGCTTCTATATGTATTACAATAAAAATACTTACTATTATAATATTTTTTTTTTTTCAAAATCATGTTAGATTTTTAACATAAAATTGAAAAGGATAAAATATAAAAAATATTGTGAAAAAGTATATAATTCATATGAATGTATGTGTTTCACACTTATAAATAATATATTTTTACTAAAAATGCTTTATATATATTGTTAAAAAAATTACTATCTTTTCCTCTTTTGTACATGTTGAGTCATCTATCTCAATAATTACTTCTAACTAACGGCGTGAGAAAATTGTTGAAACTTTATAATTTACTTTAATTTTTTTTAGCATTACAAAACATAATTTTTTTTTTGGTAAGCTTTACAAAACATAATCTTGTTTAAAAACAAGATAGTTAAAAAAAGGAAAATTATATTTACAAATTTTTCACTTACAAATTACACTATGTCTTATCGGTAAGACACTCTTGAGTTAAGTCTTACTGGTAAGACATAATATAATTTATAAGTTTGTAAAAAAAAATAAAAAAATATTTATCAATATAACCATACTCATTAAACAAAGGACACAATTTTATCCAACATATAGAATAATATTATGTTTATCTTTTTATGTTTTCGGCACTTACCATCGAAATCATATTATGTTTATCTTTGTCTTTATAAACAAAATATTTGAAAGGCAGCTAAGTCACTACTAGAAAAGGCTAGCTAGTTATTAGAGGTATAAAATAAAAATAAAAATACATAAGTAATGTTATTCAGGATTTGTTGATACAATTCAAATGTGTGACTATTAATAAGTACGTCAATATTATTAAAATAATATTATCATATTAAATTATAAAGATATTTTTATCAATACATATTCAACTAGGTTTTTCTAAACTGTAAATGTATCAAAATATAATTCTTTTGCATTAAAAGTACCAAACATATTGACACAAATAATAAACTATATTTAAATCTCTAACGTTAGTCTATATGTTCCAAATCCATTCTAATTAACTTGTCAATAGTAAAAAATATACATTGTAGCAACCACACCTTGGACCGTCTACATTAATGTAGCTTTCATGAATGATCACCAAGTTGTTGGTAATTAATTGGCTATTGCGGCGTTATTTAACCTTTTCTCATTAAGCATTAGTGTCTTCATCTTCTTGGAACCGAACTTATTACTATATTTATTAGTTGTAAAGAACCTTGAGATACACTATCCCAAAAGCTAGCTCAAGGGGTAGGAGTGTCCAAGGTCTTATAAAGACCACATTTTTTGTTGTTGTATAAACAGGAAAAAAACAGCAACTACATACTAACTGTTCTGGGCACTACAAGGCCCTGAAAATCATCTGAAATAAGATCAGAACACCCATCAGGTATCTGCCCAAACCAAACTGTATCCCAAGTAGGGGTGCACCCAAACACAGCCAACCAGTCTGCAACTTTATTAGCCTCTCTGTACACATGCCCTATCTCCACTTTCCAATCCTTCTCCATCAGAGCTTTAATCCTGGAAACAACCAAATAGTAGGGATTAGACTTAGCACAACCCTCTTTGACCAAGTTAACAGCCATCAAGGAATCACTTTCCAGCACAATTAGCTTCAGGTTATGATCCCACGCCTGTTCCTCCTGGTTAGCAGAGCCCTTAATTTTGGCTATCTCATCAAGAGCATCTCTTGTAAGAAGAAAATCAAATCTTCCCCAATCCCAGTCCTCCTCTAAAACACAATCCCTGACCTTCCACCTCAAGGCTTCTACTGGAACACAACCAATAGCCTGGTCAATTAGCCTGCCCATATTAGGCACCCACCTGTCAAGCCAGAATAGAGTTTCAGCCCCATTCCCAATAATAACTCTAGAGCCATCTTGGACCAGACCCCAAACTTTTTGGATTCCTTTCCAAATATTTGAGGAATTATTACATTCTGCCAGATTAGGACCATGCCCATCCTCCATCTTGTATTTACTACGCAGTACCCTAACCCACAAGTCCTCCCTGTTGGCTAAGAGTCTGAATCCCAACTTCATGGAAAAAGCATTATTAATTAGTTTCTGCTCCCTGAAACCCAGACCCCATACATCTTAGGCCTATATATCCTCTTCCAACTCACCAAGTGAGTCTTCCTTTGCACCTGAGAAGAGCCCCAAATAAAGCTCCTAGTAAGTTTTTCCACTTCATTGCAAACCCCAATAGGAACCACTGCAGACTGCATGGTATAAGCAGGCATAGCTTCCAAGACTGATTTGGCTAAAGTAGTCCTTCCAGCCAAGGATAAGGAGGATTGATTCCAACCAGATAGTTTCCCTTGGACTCTATCCAGAACATTCCTAAAAGTATTCTTGGTTACCCTTTTATGATGAAGAGGCACACCAAGATACTTCCCTAAATCTGAGGTTATTCTTATGCCCAGAGCTTCACTGATTTCTTTTGCTCTCCCCAGATGAACATTTCTAGAGAAAAAAACTCTAGTTTTATCCTAACTAATTCTCTGGCCAGAAGCTCCAGCAAAGATCTTCAAAACTTGGTTAACTATAAAAGCTTGCTCCAGGCTTGCCTCAGCACACAAAATTATGTCATCTGCAAAAAACAGATGAGATATAGGAGGAGCACTCTTTCTCAACACAACAGGTTTCCAGGCTTTAGTCTCTACTGCCAACCGGATTAGATGGGCCAGCCTCTCAATACAAAGGACAAAAAGGTAAGGGGATATTGGGTCCCCTTGCCTAATGCCTCTCCCTGGAGATATATTTCTGGTAGGCACTCCATTCCAAAGAAGGTTCATAGAGGCTGTAGAAATGCAGCTATACACTAATTGGACAAGTTGGTCAGGGAAACCAATGTCCTTCATAGTGTCCACAATAAAGCTCCAACTCAGACGGTCATAGGCTTTCTCTAGATCCACCTTTATCATCATCCAACCTTTACTCCCCCTTCTAGTCCTCATAGAGTGAATAACTTCTTGGGCTATAATAACATTGTCAGCCCCCTGTCTACCTGAAATAAAGCTGCATTGGTTTGGTGAGACAAGTCTAGGCATTAGATTTTTCAACCTCCCAGCAATCATCTTTGTGATGGTTTTGTACACCACATTACAAAGACTAATTGGTCTAAAGTCTTTCATACTCTCCGGGCTAGCTTTCTTAGGGATAAGACAGATTGAGGTGCCATTTATCTCCCTCACCTTATCTGGGCAACAGAAAACCCCTTCCACAAGCTTACAGACTGAATCACCAATGACATCCCATTGAGTGTGAAAGAATAATGCACTTAGGCCATCAGGACTAGGGGCTTTGAACTTGCCCATCCTGAAAATAGTCCTCCTTATTTCCTCCTTGCTAGGCATCACTGATAGGGCACTCAACTCTTCCAAACCAAGACTGGGAAAAGCATTCTGAATGGGAAAAACCTCATCACCCTCCTCCTCAGCTTTGAATAAGTTTTGGTAAAAAGATACAGCCATACTGATCAACTCCTCAGGATCAGAAACCCAATCACCATGCTCATTCCTGAGTGTTATAATCCTATTATGTCTTCTCCTAGAAACTGTAGAAGAGTGAAAGAACTTTGAGTTTCTATCCCCATACTTCAACCACTGGTTTCTGGATCTCTGAAACCAAATCAATTCCTCCCTAACCAAGATCCCTTGAAGTTCTTTCCACAAGCTCTTCTGCAACAGTTCTGTATTATGATCAAACCTACCATACTTGAAACTGTCTAGCCCATTTAGTCTAGAGTACAGTCTATTCTTAAGTTTCAAAGACTCACTAAACACATTTTGATGCCAGCTTCTGGCTTCATATTCGAATTTGTTCCTAGCCATCAGCCAGTCCACCTCCTTCCCCCAACTATCCTTCACTAAGTTACTGAAACTTTGATCAGTGAGCCAAACAGCCAGGAATTTAAAACTTCTGGGATGGCCACCATTCTTATACAGACCAGCATTACACACCAGAATGGGCCTATGATCAGAACCAAAGAAAGGCAGGTGGGTAATAATTCTATCAGGCCAAGCAATGTTCCAAGCTTCACTAGAACAAGCCCTATCCAGTCTTTCATGTAGCCTTCCCCTTTTCCAAGTGAAGTCAGGACCTTTATAACCCAAATCACTCAAATTACAATCCAATAAGCATTGGTGCATATCTGAAATACTGTTCCAGCACACCTCCTTCCCACCTCCTTCCCACCAGATTTTTCACCAGCACTAAGAATAGAATTAAAATCTCCTATTACCAACCAAGGCTCATCAACCGAAACACTGATGTCCACCAGCTCGTCCCATAGAGCCTTCCTTTCATGTCTCCTTGGGCTACCATACACAAAGGTGATTAGGTCCACCTTTTGAGTATCAAGATATCTAATCCTAGCGTGAATGAACTGATGATGGGACCTCAAGACCTCCACCTCCACCACATTATCATCCCATAACAGCCATATGCCCCCAACAAACCCAATC